GCTATCAATTTGTAATCAAAGCGTTACTATTAAAAGATCGTCGAGCAAAATACGTAGCAAAAATACAAAACGGTCGCGTCCCTCGCACCCTTTCGGCGTATATATCCAACAAACAGCTGCTCCCATTTTTTTCGAGATTTTTCAAACGTGGCAATAAAATATGTGTGACACGTGACAAGAAACTCGATGCCAAACGTGCCGCCGCTTCGGCCACCCTGGCCGAAAGATTTATGAAACGCGAAGAGAGAGAAATAGTAAGACCGTCCTCTTTCGCGCTCTCCTTTCCGGACTCGATGTCAAAACACATAAAAGATGCGCTTCCTGCCGGCTCGAATTTGCCACGATATGTATGTTTTACCGTTTCTTAATTATATACCGAAGGCATTTCATGAGAAACGGAAGCCGCGTGCCGTTGACGAGTCCGAGACAACAATGTTAATAATCGTTTTACAAATTAATTCGAATTATTTTGATGGACTATTTCCTCGGTTGAATAACTGTCCTTTCGAACGTCAGTTAGCTAAGGCAAGGCGGAGATTATCGAATAATTACAGCGTGTCGTTAGATTTGACAGACAGGCACTGTAACACTTGGTTTCTATCCGTTTAGGCAATTGTGTAAACCGTGTAATTTAGGCCGTTGCTCGGCACACCGCCGAAATATCTCGCGGAGATTCCTAGGATTGATATATGTGTGGGCGAATCCGGTACCCTTTCATTTCGTGCCCGCGGGGCTGAAGATTTAAGAAATAACGCCAAGGAATTAAAGAGGTTCGCCTTTTAAACAGCACAATCATGTCATTACGGAAAATACTATCTTTTGACGACGTAATGATATATATAGCATCGATGACTCAAACAGAATAGCGCAGACTATTTCGTGTGGGTAAAAACGATAACTTGGATAAGAATGGTTATTTTAGCGAGCATAATGACTTTACATGAGTTAACAAATATATATAATATATATAGATTGTAACATTTTTTAGAATAAAATGCAAGATGTGTTAAAACATTTTTTCCTCTTATATGGTATTAAAAAATTTAGACATGTGGTAAGTTTTATTTAAAAAATACGTTTTTACTGCAAAAACTTTCTCTCTATTCTCTATCTCAATTCGTTGTAAAATATTAAGTATTTTAATCACACGAATAACATTTGTTATTTATCGCTATATAATGTGAAATTAAATTGGAATACCAATTTCACAGGTCAGAGATCTTTTATTTCTATTTTTGTCTTTTATTTGTATTTTAAAATCTATCTGTCGTACCACTTCAGTAATTTTCATGTCACTTTAATACGCTAAATTTACCAATACTTAATTCGCCCGTAAAATCATGGCACAATGATCGTACAAAACTTTCTTCGACCGGAATGACATTTGGGCTTCGGTGAAAACGGGAAAGCATCCATCTTTTGGGGATCTTTGTAGGTCTATAAGCGAGCTGAGGCTCGTAAACGGAGCCACAAAAGAGCAAACTGTTCGGTTGCTGCGATGATCTTAAGTGTCCCCGAAAAGTATCCCCGAATCGTTTCGAAATAGGACCTCCGCGATGTGGGATTGCCCGCACGCTGCAGGTATACTCGCTAAGAACGTCATTTGAACCGTGCCATTGTCAATTTCATGCCGACAATGGCGACAGCTGAAGGATCAAGCCAAACATTGAGACATATCCCTTGTTGCTCCTGTCACCGTCGTTCTCCTCCCCATTTTCTCCTACCCGTCTTCCCATCCCCGTGGCTTGGACATTATTACAAAAATATTGGAAGCTCGTCGCACGAGAATGCATCCCCTGCAGTATTGTCGCGACGATCAGAGTCGCGCAATGGGGAAGTTTCTGCGCGATTCCTACTAAAGACGAACGGGGGTATGTGAAATAGGATTCACGTGGTCAGACCCTCTGTAAGAACTTCCTCAGATAATTTAGGTGCTAGGGCTTCCTGAAAAAATATTTGGAACACCTGCACCGTTACATCATTCTCGTGACTGATCCATCGCTCGGCAGCTGATCTTATGATCATGATAAACACAACGGGGCATGTGATATGTTTGTGTTGAGAAGTGTGAGCGATATTCTGACGAGACACCGAGTTTATATTTATACAAATTGATGTATTTGTGTAACACACATGTATAATATTCCTACCTTTCATTCTTTAAATTTAAATTATGAAAATCTATCTTAGCAAACTTTTTCTTTTTGATATTAATAACTTTTTGTTGGAGATTAAATTAAATGCTTTATTTCTAATAAATTACTCGAAACAATTTTTGCATATAAATTATAATTTGATTCACTTAATTTTTCAAAATGCTTCTTACTCGAGGTAATAATTATACATAAATAGAATAAGTGGTATGAAATTATGTTCGATATTAAATTTCAATATCATAAAAGATGTCACAAACAAACTTGCTTATAGAGAATAAATAACTCTACTGCAGATTAAAAATATGTCTATATAATTAATTAAAAAAGAGGAGAAGAATTAATTAAATCCAGGTTTGCGTTGCTGCCAATACAGCATGGTATTACAACACATAATAAACAAATGCTTCATTTTTTCAAAGAATAATTTTTCTGCGCAAACAAGAATACCGCAAAAATAGTTCTTTATAATAGTCCTCATAATCGATAAAGATTAATTAATATGATTTCATTATCATACAATTGTTCTCGATTCGAATTTAAATAACGTTTGTCGTGAATAAAAGGAGACAGATATGAAATAATGTGTGGACATGGTACCATAGTAAGAGAGAACTCGTGTAATTTCGAATTACATGGCGCTCACGTATTTTAGAAAATATTTGCTACATCAGCAGTTGTGTGCGATCCCCCGCGGCAGGGAGAACCCACACAGTGAATTATGTCCGCGTGTCCGCATAAAGCGTCATTAGACGGAATACTTCACGGACGTGCATTCGCGACTAACCGACATAAATTTGAACATGTACGTGTCTCGCTTTTCCGGCATTGAGAAATTTCGCTGTTTGAACCACGTTACTGGAATATCGACGATTATGTTTCGCGATGGCGATACATCTTTCTTATTACTCAATAAAGACACTTCCGTTGTTTCTAACTGCGACTTGCAAAAGAAACAAGACATTCAAGACATTCAGAATCTATTATTTTCACAATATAGTAAAATTGAAATAAAATCATTATTTTTTATTTCAAAATTAAATAAAAAATAATAATACATAAAATAATAATCAGAGAATAATTATAATGTGTTAATAAAATAAAAACAAACAAACTTATTATTTGTTTCAAAAGAAGCACATATAGCGGCAGAAAAGAAAACTTTTCAGAAATAAAAAAGAATTTTTTGCAGATATTCTTGTTTCACGAAGATTATTATAAATAAAGCATAATAATTATATATTTTCAAATTTACTGCAATATTTCTCTAGATATAAAATAATGAATTTTTCTGGCTCTTATTTATACAAACAACTTGTTTTATGTTTTAATGAGTGTTTTAATTTCTCATCAATAATTTGTTCAATATATGTATAGTAAAGCATATTATAGAAATGTCATATCGATTCCAACTTTAATGTTTCTACACGGCAAAAGAAAAAAAAATTTACAAGAGGCGAGCGGGCTTCACTGCGGGAAATTTCATATAACTTTGAGCCGACGGATATTCACGTTGCCTGAAAAATGTTTGGCACACCTGCGGCGTTACGTGATTCCCCGTGGCGACACGACTCCGATTTCGTGAGCACGAGGAGACCGTAAGCGAATAATACATGCGTGAACGCGGAGTAGTCTCTCTTACGGCACACTTGCAGGGACAAAATCGTCATTAGCACGACCGACAGCGATTCATTCCCGCGACAGAGTCTCATAAAGTCGATGAGGAATCGGCGGTATCCCCTCGTGATGAGATCGTTGAGCGCGGTGACGCGGCGGATTCTTTTCCCCTTTAATGCGACTTTAAATTCCGTTAAATTTATCAACACTACATCGTCAATGATCTTTCAGAACGTAAGTGAGTTGTTAGGATCTCATAAGAGTTCAAAGAACCGTGATAAGATCTTCGGAAATATCTTACAAACGTTAGCAATTGAAAGTTGAAATTAATTAATGCACAAGATTGCATGATAAAATGCATGTAATTGTCACGGCGAAATTTATAATGAGATATCTCTTGGCTAATGTATTTTTTATAGCCATCAAAATTTGATTAATCTCTCCAATATGTTTTCAATATATGATATTCTTCGATATACGTTTCCATTGTATGATACATTGCAATATGTTTGATATATATCTACATATACATATCTATCCGTTACATTTCAAAATAAAAAAATTAAAACAAAATCAGAGTATATCTGTTGCAAAATTATTATGTTGAATATAATATGATATACCGGAAAATTATATGTTGAACGAAGAGCATATAAATTAACGCAATATTAATAATTAAAAATAATTAATATAACCTTTATCTACAGAGTTTTTGACAGAATTTATACGAGAATAAAAAATCGTATGCAATAAAATTATCCATAAGCGTTACTATAATTAGAATTAAAATATTAATTCAACAGGATTTTTGCACAGTCACGCATATCGTTCAACATGCTCTTTCAACGGACTCATTAACGATAAATATCGTGTAAGGTATTTCATGCGCGGATAACAATCGTCACGATTATAGTTTCATTATTTATGTTTGCTAGATACAGTGAAAATGGAAGAAGCCGTATCGACGCTACGTGACGGCAAACGCTGCATTTTTAACTGATCGCGCGACTATCCTTCGTATCCTTCCATTGTACGCGACGGAAGCTTGGACGAGCGTGTGAATAAAATGTAGGTCGTATAAATAATCAAAAACACCGTCGAAGTCGCATTCATGTTTCTTGTAAATTTAGCATGCAAGTTACTTTCACGTATCGAACGTGGACGTGTGATCAATTGTAGATTTGCAAGCACTCGATATATAATAAATTAAAAAATAATTTAACACTCACCGACACCGATGCGCAACAGCGGAGTTGTGAACTACGTTGATCTGTAAAATAAAATATATCCAAATTATTACAATGTCCAAATAAATTATATTTCAGAAAAATTATTGCGCACGCGTTAAATTTTTTCATTTTTTAAATGGATACCTATTGCAAGTAATTTTTAAAGAAGCTTTAATTATTATTTAAATAATCCAAATAAACGATTCAAACTAACGGTATACAATAAACATAAATAATACTGGAAATAACAAACAATATATGAAAAATAAATTACCTTACAGTTGCTCCGCCGTTGCCTGATGTCTCCCAGACCTCCTCCTCCTCTCAGGTTTTTTCGTTACACTCGCGAAAATATGGCTAATTACGATCGCGTGATATACTGATATCTTATACGGCACTCCCGATATAAATATTTAAATTACTACTAATGAACCGCGTATCACCGTTTTTCTTACTTTGTTCGGATCCTTCAGTCCACCGATTCAGGTATCTTCGTATTTGCAGATTGTAGAGAAATCACTGCGAAAAAAAGACAAATCACGATATAAGATAAATTCAAATCCAAGCATCAAGAGCTATTATCACTTTATAAACATTGCAATAAGCCAATTCTTCTGTCTATCCCGTTTCGATTTTTATTTTAAACGAGCAAAACACGCAAAGTATCTGCTTCAATAAACGGCCTCAATATGATACAAACCGTGCGATAATTAATTGACCGAGCGGATTGTTAATAGTTAAGGAAATGGTCGCGCTTGGTACTTGTTACGCTTTTTGAAAGATAATAACGCGATGGTACACGGAGCAGTTCGTGTCGCTGCCTACCTGGCCAAGTCTTGTATGAATGATAGAACGGTCTGCCTTGTCTACACGATAGCGTGTAGACCTTATGTACACAAATACGCTTTACGGCATAAGTAACAAACGCCGCGCTTGTGCTAGTGAGTTCGTCATCACGACGTAGTTTAATATAAAATCAATGCGCGCTGAATATCTGAATTATTAATTAAAACGATTGTTACAGTTAATATTCTCCGTCACTTTAATCATTCAATCCAGCGATTTGTACATTCCATATCTCTCAATCTGAACATAATCGATTAATTATGTTTAGGTTAGCGAACAATTTAAAGAGAGCAATCGTTATACACTAAATATATTACGAAGAAAGATTTACACTTAGATTCCTTATTATTTCAATTTTTACTTTAGACAAATAAATCACACATGATAAACTATTTCAATAAATACTTGTCTCAATCTACGAAGCGCGGCGAGTTAATTGCTAACGCGAGCTAGCAATCATAAAGTGTAATAATCGTGAGAAACGATAGTATTTGAAATTTTCCTAGCATTTTTCGCGATCGCATTTCGAAGATTAATAACGTCACAGTGGCCCGCATCACTACCTTTCTGCTCGAATTTAGCTGCAAGAATGATAATGCGATGATTTTGGGTACACAAATCGTGACGTACACGGTATGATGTTGTGTATGAAAACAGGTGCTAATGCACGAAATATTTAACGTATTACAAAATAAACATTAAATACTCTTTGTATTTTTTGCATTCCTAATTAATTTTGATAAATAAATTATTATCGCATATTAAATTTGGTGTATATTTGAAGAATAAAATATATCTCACTTTGATGGGAAAGGTACTTGCGCGAACTAATTTATTACTATCGTTTCGTGCTAAAATTTTGTTTTCAGCGAAAAACAATTCTGTAATTTTAATAAATCGAGCAAATTAAATTAAATCGTTGAAAAAATTGCACATTTGTTTTTCACTCTTTTTAGGACAAAGAGATTTAAAAAGATAATAACAATAAATTATAGTTTCTATTTTTTTATCACATAGGAAAAAAATTTATTTTTCAAGTTAAAATTTAATATTGATTTATTTGAGATCCAATAATCAATAATTCAAATTTTCATTTAACGAAAATACTAAATAACTTGCATGTAATAATTAAAAGTTATTAGCGATTAGCTTGTTAAACATTAACTGATCAATTTCGATCGCTAACAATTCGGAAACTGTTACAATTTCGACATTTTTATATTTTAATTTCAACTCTAATTAATTTCCAGAATATGTTATTAAAATATTGAACAACGATTATAAATGTCTATAAAAAAAATGTAAAATATTATTAATAATTGTTAATATAAATTGCAGGTGAGCTTATTAATAAATAAAAACTGACTATACTGAACAAGCTAGAGCTGATGTAACGAAGCTTTTACTCTGAGCTCAAGTTTAAATTCGCCACTGCGACGAATTGCAATCTGTATTTTCGACGAAACTGCGCGATAAACCGAACTGCAATTTCATGCATACGTCATCAGGAATGGTAGGAATCGTCGACAGTGAGCGTCACGTGCGACGTATGTCGATCGTCGCCGAAATACACGGAAATTCTCCCGTTGCTCCTAGACGCCTACGAATGGCTCGTGAATTCCAGCAGAGAAGCCGATGCCGGCATTTGGGAATTATATATCGATCGCTGATCGATCGATGATACCAATGAAAGCGATCGCACCAAACGGCTTGTTCTACGATATCAATCCAACGAAATTTAGCATTCCGATGTATAGTACAATTAGAATAGGTACTTACACGGAAACGTCTAATAGGATAGGAATTTTATGCTATGATTATGCATATTTTATGTAATACGACATTTGTTTAAATATACAAATTATTTATTAATGTATACAATATTTTATTAATCTGTGCTTATATTTTATTAGAATTTGCATATAAATCTATAATATAAAACTTTTAATTATGTGGCTCGCTAAAAAAAATTAAAGGTCTTTATTTATGCTCTTGTTAGCTTTTCCTCCGATTTATACATTTAATTAATTTCATTTTTAATAAAACTTCATTTTTAAATTATTGTATAAATAAACAATTTAAATAGTCAACTTCGGTTAATTAAGGTAAAATTATTAGTTTCAGTTTATTAATTGTAAATTAATCAGTGTAACATTCCCATAATGCCAAAAGTTTTGCGTTAAACACGAGATTGCACGCTTCATTGTCCACTTACTTTCTCAGATGACGATCGCACCTGATCGAGCGTATCAATTTTACAGCGAGTCATGGCTCTACTGAAGAACTCTGGGTGGACTTGATTGTGGCGCGAGAATCGATCGCGTGAAAAGATGAGGGGAAAATGAAAAATGATGGTTTCGACAGTCGAATTTTGTCTTTATACGCACGTTCGAATTTTCGGCTTTAAAAGCCGTTAAACGTCGGGAGGGGAAAAAGGAAGTCGCATCAATGATTCAATATTTACGCACAATGCCGATAAAATTGGTTTTAAGGGCCCCACCCGCGACAATAGGTCCGTTTTATAGAAAGGCCCCGAACATTTCCTCGCGCATATTTCTTGAGCCGACACCTTCGCACATGAAAAACCATTTGGAACTGCGTCACGGAACACACCGAATAACATGAGTCTTGCATTGCAATTTCGCGCTTCTTCTTTCTCGTGGCCTTAACTAATTGCGTGTAACAGATGTATTTTCGTGACAAAATGTGACGCAACGTTTATCGATTAACGATCCTGCTAGGATTCTTCGTGGGTGTTCTGATTTATACACCTAAGAGAATGTGAAGTAAACACTAACGATGACTAATATTGCGTATGAGAAAAGAATTAAGATTTTTTTTTACTAGGCACGATGCGCGATGTTCGTATGAATACGTTAAGTATGAAAGGGTTCGTTAGAATTTAATTATCGTGCATGCATAGAAGATGCCGGCACGTTATAAATTACCATTGACCCCTGCTAAGATTTTAATGATATTATTAGGAATTGGATTTTATTCTTCATAACGAGTCTGAGAAATATGACTATGCTGTAAAAATGTAGATATTTAATTTCGTACTTCAATATATATCGAGAAATATAATATTTAAAAAATAACTGTTTTGGTCATTAATTAATAAAGAGATATTAATGTATCTTTGCTTAAAAACAAATATAAAAACTAGATCCATTACGTTTTTTGCTATTTTATTTTTTTTATATTGTTTTACTTTAGTGTTATGAAATAAATCCATTTTTCTTAGCAACAGAATTTATGGCATAACTACGTATCTATATATGTATATACATATATTTATGTATCTATGTGCGTATCATTTAAATTTTCTCGATATACTTATATATTGATTGGATTACGTATCCGCTTATATGAATAAATAGTGCAATTAGTACGATTTAATAATCATAAAATTAAAATCTGTGATTTAATAAACTTTAATTAATTTTAATTATTATATAATTGCATTTATATGTTTAATTATATGTTAATTAATTCGAATAATTATATAAACTCTAGATTTCACAATTATAATTCACTGTTCTCTTCAGAAATACGCATTTTTATTATATTGATATTACTAATTACGATAAAATACTTCTCGGTATCGTGCATCGGGAGTGTGTACATGTTAAATTACCAGCATTTTAATAATACTTAACGGTAATACATAAATAATTTATTTATTTAAATCATGGCAATGCGTCATAACGTCAGCGTACCTTTTTGCATATCGGGATATTCCGTATGTCAACGTGAAATGTTATGAGTTTTGCAGACGGAAATTTTTATGCGCTTAGCATCTAAATTTTATCGACGGCTTACGAGTATATGTCTCGTTCTGTCGGAGAAAACTCATAAAGCAACATTTGGCAGCCCCGTTGTCCATCGCACGCTCTTCAAAGATGCACTCGCATCGTAAACGGAGATACGACCGGGTGGCGACGTGACCCTCACGAGAGATATGCGACGTAACTCTTGCCGCATGCATGCATGCATGCACGCACGCACGCACGCACGTATTATGTCGCGGTTATCACACTGCCGCATGTTTCACCTATTCTCATTTTTTCCTATATTATTTTTTTTTCCTTTCTTCTTCGAGGCGCAAATGGATTTTATGTCGCGGGTTCGTTGAACCGCCCGCGCCGCCGCCGCCGGACGCGATATACTTGATCGTTAAAATAGGAAATACCCGGCGACCATGCAACATAATGAAGACCGCGCGTTATATACTCTCTTTCTGTCTCTTTTTTCCTTTGTTAGAGTATTACGTGACACGTGGCGAATGTCCGCGATATTCACACGCGAGATACGAAATGCAGAGACTCGCGAAACGGATTAGATCGAAGATACGCGGATAATCGCTCCTCGAAACGGGACTGTTTTCACGGACTGTCTCAGATCCAATTGTACCAACGACTTTGATTGATTCTTTGAGACTCGTTGCTTTATTTCGTTGCATCGACATTGTGTACACGTGGATTTAATACTCTAAACTTTCTCTCATTTAATGTAATCGTTGTGATAAGATCTAAAGCAGTAAAGTCATTTTATACAATTAATGCATTTTTGTGTAATTTGTCTCTAGAGACTTTTCTCGTATTTTCTCTCAAACTTACGTGTTAAACTAAAACATAATTTATTTTGTTCTTTGCTTACATTGTTAAGCAACTTATGCATTGTTATTTCTATGAATAATGCATTAAAATATAATTTGATTATCTACCAATTAATTTGAAATAATTATTGTTGCCTTTTTACAGATTTACAGTTAAATTAGTGCAATCAATCCTTAATCCTTATTACAGGTTCATTATTTAAAGAATAACTTATCGTTACATTTATTATTAACGTAACATATTTTCCTTAATTTTCTATGAACGAAATTACATTATATACAAATGAGCGTGTTTTCAACATGTTTTAGTAATAAAAAATAAGAATTAGCGTCAGATATATCATTTATTCGACTTTCTATTATATAAAAATGAATCTATTGCTCTCGGTTGTTTTGAAAATAGAAATTTCTGACAAGTTCATAAATTTTTAATGCAAAAAGAAAAAATATGTAATAACATGTTTTTTAAAGAACGTGAAATCGTATTAATCCACATGAAATTAACACTACGCTTTTCGAGATTTTTTATTTCTTAACCCTTAAATGCGTAATTTTTTTTACAGAATTCTGATCTGAGTATCTTTAAAACAAATGACGACCTTCTGGATCTTCCAGAAGGGAAAGAAGGGCCAAAAAAGATCCTTTACAGGTGCGTGTTTTCAGTTCCTCTTCATAAGATAAGAGAGATTACATGGAGCATCGAAAAGTCGCTTTGCATATATGCAAAGCTGCGCATTTAAGGGTTAAATTTCTGTTAGCGGGATTTACTCACCGGTATCGTATCACCGCTTGCTGTCGCAACACTGACACACTCCCGCCGATTAGTCCTAAAACAATGTATTCAGTGTTATTTTTCTCTCTCTTTGTGCTGCGCAACGAAGATCGCGGAACGTAAAAATAGATACTCACCTGCATCACTATTATATATCCTTCTTGCCAATCAATTCATCGTCGCCGAATTTCGTTCCTTTCCTGATTCGCTTCCATTCGGCGGGCGTTGTTTCATTCACTGATACGAATCGACTGGAAGATGATTTTCAATTCTATTTCTAATCGTAATTTTCTACTTCTAATTTCTAATTAATTCTAATTCTAATCGTAAAACTATGATTAATTACACGCAGCGTAATGCAGCGATGCAGCGCAGCCTGCGCAGCGTTGTCCGCCATTTGCCAATGCGAAATCCCTGGGAAAGCTCGATTTCGCCGTGCGTTCCGTAAAGCCTATTCTACAATGAACGCAAAACGCTAGTCGCAACGTTGTCGCGACAGCTAATCAGAAGTGTCAATGGCATCCATTGTAGAATAGGCTTAAGACATCTAATTGCGATCGCGCGATTTGTCGAACACGCTAAATGCTTTCCGATTCCTGTGCCGCGCCGGCGATATTCTTTCGGACGGATAAAAGACGGATATAGATTCGATCCGATACTTTCGATTTAATCCTTCAACTGACTTTTGCTGCGAACGAGTAAAATTCCGTGACGCCCGCCGCGTCGTCCCCGCGAATAACTTCACGCCGAGGCATGAACGAACGTTTCTTTACTGCGCGGCGTAAATTCTTACTTGTAATCGTTTCACCGTGTGTCTCTCAACGCCCAAGCCCAAATCAACGCGTTTGTCATCTCCGATGATTGTATGACGCTCATGAAGCTCGCTTTCGACGGCGGAAAATGCGATCCGGCGTTCCTGAGTTCCTGGACGTTTCTCGAGCGCAACTCGGAAGTAACCGAAGCAACGACGGAAGCATCCGAATCGTTACGAGTACGAGGTAGCCCGACGCGACGTGATTGCGCGGCAAATCGCGATTTGAGTATCGCGGAGAAATACAGCTAATCATTTCACGTTATAATTGGCGTACGATGATCTCGTCGAAACTCACGATGCGCGTGATTTTCGGCAAACACGGGTTGAAATTACCGTAAAAACAACCCTGGCGGATGTGTGCCGTGCACGAAACATTAATTAAGCTCATTTGCGCGTTGTACACATTATGTACGTACGTCAATTCCATTGCACGAACGCTAATTATGTCACAACTGTCGTTGAGACTTATTCCGGATTTTGTCGAGATGATAAGTAACTCGCGTACAAATCTGAGAAAAAATGATTTGTAAAAGTAGGACGATAAATATCTTTATAAGAATTTAATATATGTATATTATGTATATGTGCCACTTAATTATCGGAATATTTCATATCGCGAATCGAAGATCGAAATGCTGCAGCGGGCAAGAAAAATAGAGGAGATCGAAATTTCACGGAGAGACGGGATAGACGTATGCCGGCTTCTGATTGGTCGAGAGAATCGCGGATAACGCTTATACACCTGTTCGTTGACACCCTCTATGTACGACGAGATTCGTGACACAGACGAAGAGCGCCCGATCCCGTGTGCGATATCGAGGGTACGGAGTAGAAAACTGCAATGAACAAGTCGGCTCCGCCGTAAGTCGAGGGAAGCGATGTTTTTTGTCAGGTATGACGCGACGCGGGCCGCGCGATTGATGTAAACAACTCGCTGGCTAGGAATTTATACGTTTTTTTGCCTCCCCTACGTAACGCGGCTGGGGAGGGGGAGGGGAAGCGTCGCGCGCGCTACGCACTACGCACTACGCAGAACATAATCAGCCGCGAAACCGTGAGTATGTTCTCGTCCTCACTCTTCGGTAACGCTCGAGATTGTTCCTACACCAGCTTTCGCCTCGCATTAGAACAAAACTGTGTAAAATCTGTATTCCGTGTTAGATCTGCGACGGTTACGTATGTACATATGTCGGAAATGATTTCAAAGATCGTGGAAAATATTTATGGAAGAGAATGATGATTTCTTACAACAGTTATCTAGCTACGATTTTCTCTGATTTGTTTGAATTAAAATCGCGAAAATTTCAAATTAACTTGGCTACTCCGTAGAACATATAAGTATTAAAATCGCGTGATTTATTTAAGGCGATAAAAATCTATTGTATTTCTGTCAAATTTAAAAGTGTTCATTTTAATTATATATATTCTCAATATTCTGTTCGAGATTTTATAATAATTATATCCTCAGAGTCGAGAGAAGTATTAATATCTAATATTAATTCTATACAAATCCAGTCAAAAACGTAACTTCGATATCAGCCCCATTTTCATGATACTCGAGTGTGATCGTGGATCGCGCGACGAATCATGATTTCATGATTGCGACATCTAGGTGATTTATATTTCACGTCGGTCGATCGCGAGCGCGAGACACCGTGTCAACGTCTTTCGAGGCAACTCGCGTCTCGCGTCTCTCTGCTCTCGTTCGGTCAAGACGAAGCGTCGTGTGCGAAAAGTCGTCGCGAGTGCCGAAATATTTCGGGCGACGCGTTAATCAAGACGTACGCGATAGCAATTGACTGGATTCGCGGTCGATGGTCGCGCAATGGAACGCATTATTCGTCCGTCCGTCCGTTCATCGCGTACGACGTGAAGTTGCCTTCGCGTACCCTACCGCGGACGGCGCGGCGGAATCTCTCGTCGCTCCACGACTCCGTACTCCGTGCGATAGTTGAGTAAATTGCGTCGCGTCGCGAGAATTGCCGGCACGGAGATTGCCGGCGCGCGTTTTACTCGTCCCAAAGTGAGTTTCGCGCACGAGGAAGTATACCGGGGAGTGCCGAACCCAGTGCCGCACGGTCAGCGTGCATCGCGGCGTGCGGGTTAATAACGAGACGCTATCTCGCGAGATGAGGTTCGCGCGGGACGTTCTTGGTTAGGTGGTACGTGCGGTGGAATTCGTCCATGTCTGTGTTTCATTTCGAAATCGGCTCGTTTGAGAATTGAGAATCGCGAGGGTGGATCTTGGCCGGCCAATGAATTTACGCCGCTTTGAGCAATACGGAGCAGCGATATAATACGGAGCAATACGGAGCTCCTCTTGCGCTATTCGAGGCTCTGCTGTCTACCGTGCCGTATGGGCAATCTGCCGACGAAAGGTTTGTTAGACGGTGTGCGAACTTCAAGTAAACGCGGTTAATCGTATTATTTGTCAATTGTACGATAAATTATTTCACGAATTAATTATGGGCATGTGCGTGCTAATTAAAATATATATAGATAATATTTGCACATGTTATAATTGACTGATATACATATATTTAGTAATTGGTTTTTGTGTGTGCGTTCAAAAGTAATAAATAACAGTTTTCTATATATTTCTGGCAACGATCGCGATCATCTTATTCCGTATTAGCCGTGCTTGTAGTTATTATAATAGTAGTGGATTTTAAATATTGTACGTTAGAAACTAGAATATTTTTGTGGTTGATATCGTGATTGTAATGTTTATAAGAGGTGGTTGATCGAAATATGAAGCAGTTGATATAGTGATCATGATATCTTTATTGGTCAAGATCATTATTTGTAATTGTTTGTAATTATTTGTAATTGATTAATTATTTTAAATCAGTCATTATAGATTGGAAATGAGAAATAGCTGTAATTAATATTGTGATTGTTATATATGTTTTTAATGTTTTTATAGAGGTTGATTTAATCGAAATAAAAAGTGATCACGATATGTTCTTCATTAGCCAGGATCGCTGCTTGTAGTTGTCGGATCAATTATTATAAATTAATTATTGTAGATTATAAACGGAAAATGGCTAAAGTTATAGTACTGTAACTGTTCAAAAGATTGCGCATAATTTAACCAAAATACGAAATAGTGATTATGATATATTCTTCGTTAGCCAGGATCACTGCTTGTAATTGTCAGATTAATTATTATAAATCAGTTATTGCAAATTAGAAATGGAACATTGTTGTAGTTAATGTAGTGTTTATTGTAGTCGTTACGTTTATAAAATTATTATTATTATGTGCATGAATTAATCAAAACGTACAGTGACAACTGGCAGTAATCGCGATCATTTTCTAAATTAGCCGCGATCATTGCTAGCAATTACAACATGTAGTTGTTCAGAATAGAAGCGCGGAATTATAATTAATTTCGTGAAACATTTGCGGGAGTTAATTATTTAGTATTCAAATTACAATTTTACACTGGCAAATTTTAACATTTTGAGGTATATCTATAAGCACGGGTATACGTAATGAGAAGTTCATTGGCGGGCTAAAATCGTATTCTTATTTTCGAAGAGAGCTGTTATCGTAACGCGTAACAGACATGTACGGTTGTAATTAATCTGAATTGCGATATGCGATCAGTGACGACGTGATAAAATGCGTGTGCGTATTCGTGCGTATCGTAATCGTATCCGTTTTTCATGCGTCGCCGTCGCGTGTTAAATTATGCGTGTATCGGAGCATCGTACAATGTCAGTTAATACGATCGTAATGAGACGTGCAGTGATATATATACTTTTGTATCTGTGAGTGACTGAATGTTTTATACGGCAATGACATAATCAGCAAGGAGGATTATCTCTCTACACGCAACGGCTGGTGAGTAACTTTATTCAATATTTTTTTAATTAAAATATTTTATTACTTATTATATATAATACTTATTTATCATTTATTAATACTATATGATACGCTGTATATAATGATTGAATTTGGAGAGTATCGCGCTTCGGCCGAATTATATAAGCGTTTTAATTTTAGTTTAATATGATGAAGATCGTTTTTCGACCGATTAAAATTTTCTTAACTTATCTTTTTCTCCTTTGATTTGTATTCAATAAACTTTATAAGTTATTTAAGAATAACATAAAGTGAATCGTGTTTTATGCCATATTTAAACTAAACTCTTTGGTTTTCGTAAAATATAAATAAAACAAAATATGGTTCTTTACAGAAACATTTGTGACTGTGTTGCTTGGCAGTGCTGTGGGTAAGTCATTTCTCGTATTTGTACAGTTTGTAAATATGTAAATATTGACTGGAGTTTCGCATATATCGATCAATATATGCCATTACGAGGTATATTAAGCTGTCTAAGCCAAATTATTAGAACACACTAAATTATGCATGGAATTAATTAGCTAATTATTTGTTATTTTTTACTTTTAAAAGTAATTTTTTTACTCCAACTGTTAAAAAGTTACGAAGGGCTAGATAGCTTAAGATTAAGCTATCACGCCATTGTAAAAAAATGCATATAAGTTAAAGCGAAGGATTAATAATACCAAAATTATTTGCTACTTTTTTTTGCTATTTTTTGCTTTCAAAAGTAATTTTTTTGTTCCAGTTTTTAAGATATCAAAAACAAAATGCGGCGGTCAAGAGTAAAGCGCATTAAAGAATTTAGTTTTTCGCATTATTAGCATTAGAAGTTCCTTAAATTATTTGCTCAAGATATCCAGGTCCCGAATTTTTTGCTCGCAAAATAAGTTCAAAAAATTTACTAAGTTATAGTAACTTGGTAAAATACTATAACTTGGTAAATTTTTTAAATTTATTTTGCGAGCAAAAAATTCGGGACCCGGACGTCTTGAGAGCAAATAATTTAAGGAACATTCTGATATGCTAAAAAAATTACTTTTAAAAGCAAAAAATAGCAAATAATTAACAAATTAATTCCATATATAATTTATTGTGTTTTGATGATTTGGCTTAGATAGCTTAATATAGCTAGCTGCCATTATGACAGTTGCATTGAAATAGCAGTCTCTCGAAATAATGTTGTAATTATAATTATATTTTTACTCAATTTTTTACGAAATTATTTATAAGTTAAAATTATAAATTTATTAAAACCTACTCTATATGGAGATAGATATTATTATTATATTTGGCCCGTCGCGATTACGAGATACATAAAATTTTTACGAAGGGTGCCGCAGGCTCGTATTATCGGGTCCTATTTTCGGTACGGTCCGCGTTTCGAATAATCGAGCACCGGGATAACGAGAAATCGATACGACGTGATACCACTTATCCCTTGAAATTCATAAATTCCAGCCGCGGATTAGCCTTCCATCGTTTTGGAGACAACATGCGTAAAAAAATATTAAGTCTTCTTGATTTTATACTTAACAAATATTTCACGTATATAAATGTTATTATGTCTCTGCAACTGTAATTATAAGGTATGAAGAGAATATAAAACAAAGCTTCCTCTATGAGGAAGCAAAACAGGTAGATGATTACATAAAACTATTATTCTGAAATTACTTTATCGACAAACTTCTCAGCTTAATAAAACCAATGCAATAATTTGATATCGATATGCTATAAATTTACGGAACATTCAGATATATACAGATATGCGCTTGAACGTACAAACTTTAATTCGAGGAAAAAGGAGTTAATTTCGCACTCGTGAAAAACGCGAATTGTGGGCAGGACAAAGCAATAACGGTAATCCTTTGATCTTTCAATTCCGCTGGCGCCTTATCAGCGGCGAGATGAACCGAGAAAACGGGAAAGAGATGGCGGTCGGATTACTCTAGGGAGACGGTAAGAATATTTCAGCCCACGATTCCGCGTTGCGGGTTACGCGCGTGACGTTAATTCGGCTTTCAAGCTATTATCCGCGTTACGACTGCACGCCGAAACGGGCTCTGTGACATCGTCGTAATATCTCCCCGTGCATTTGTAATCTCAATTTCGCGATCGTAACCCTGGCGATGTATATGGGGATTCGTGTACTTTGAAATTGAAGTATTTGTTACGAGGTAGGAGTCATTTCCGCAACGTGATTGGTGCTTCTCAAGACGATGCACGAAATTACAATTGCAATAAAATATTTATTACATTACTGATATAAGATAAGTTAAAACGAGCATACTGGTAGTAAAGACTAATAAAATGAAAATTGTGCTAATATAATGTGAAACTTTAAAATACATACTATAATACTATTTATTCATTCATCGCATTTCTCAATATGTATTATGTATACCTATACATTATATATCAAATATAGGTATTCTACTTTATATTCATGATAATAATGAGAATAATTTGATACAAAATGCACGAAGTCTTAATTTAATTACTTTAATTATTATATCAAATAGATATTCTATTTTATATTCATGATAATGTTGAGAATAATTTGATACAAGATTCATGCAATCTTATTTTAATTATCTTAATTATTACCAATTTAAGTGATTTATAATATTTTGGAAATTTGTTTGTGCATGAATTATTTATTTCTCGAAAAAGAATATTTAATAACAATTTTAAATCTAGGATTTAATTTGTGCTAAAATTATATATAATTCCTGTTAAATGCCTTTACATTGTAGTATTAACTCGTTATATGAATTTCATTTTTATAAAAATGTGGTCATAATATAAGAATTAAAAAAATATTATTAAGAGGTTTTACAACTTTCAATATATTTATATATTCGTGAATTTTAAAGCTTTTTGGTAATAAAATCTCTTTCTGACGCATGTACGTTATGAGGACTTACAAACGTTTAAAGGATTTATCTAAAATCCCCTAACGTTCTTAGAAAGCTCGTAATTCATTTTATTCGCGTTACCAGTGCTTCGTTGAACTCAAAGAACCATCTCGGAGTGTGGTCGGCAAACTAGTCAGACAGTAAGAATCAATGCTCGTAAATTCGGATGGTTTATCGCGGCGAATGGTTGGCCATAATTCACGTGGCCTAAGTCGGTGGGTTGGAATGACGTAACAGGATGTCCTATCATACTGCCGTTTTCCAGGAATATTGAGTCATGGTATATACGATGACGGATAGTGATAGCGAATAAATTTGGACAGGATAGTATCACTTGAAGTGATTAATAACGAATTGTCATAGAATTTAAATTTCTTCTAATCAGAATCAGAATTCAAGTTTGACTGTAATGAGTACGAGTTAATTAAATTATCATAATATCATTTTTAATTAATGAAACGCATACCTTTTATTGCCTAACAATGTGAAAGCGAACAATCTGTTACTAATGGTTAATGGAGTTTTCCTGAAGTCTTATTCTATCGTAAAATATAATAGTGGGTTGAAAGTCTCGTCAGGTACGGAGGATCAATGGATAAGAACTTGGAAAGGGATCGAGCGCTCGAACTCGGGCTATCGTGCCTCGAAATTATTTGGTTTGGTTGCTTTTGTTATCCTATCGCAACTATATACAAACGTTTTAGTAAAGTGAGCGGATACACACACTGTAGCTACATCACTGAACGTGGTCATGTATACCTGCGGCGAATGGTTGGTTTGGTTCCTAGGAGTTAATTCATGCCTCCTGCTAGCTGGACCAGCTGGCGCGATAGGTCGCTCTTTGTAACAATTCCGACGTTTTCCGGCAACACCCGGCCGCGGCATAAGGTTAATGGAAATTTCTAAGAGAGCGAACTATTGGCTCGTCGAAACACGACGGAGCTTTCAATAAATAATCAGCACCTTTATGCCTCACAAAGTGCCCATTAATATGTCATTATTTCGCGTAATCGCGTGTTTAATAGTAAATTCGTTTTCGGATTGCTTTTGCGGCCTGAATAGAGATTGCTTTTTATCAGAGTTCTCTTTTGCGAACTTTTAAGAAAAATTAGCGAACATTTTACGAAGCTGTATGTATCCAATCAATATAAATTTAATTAACGCGATTGCGATTTTATTACTATACATAATTATTGAAAGAATAATTTATTTCCGATGAAAGTAAAGAAAAAAATATTTTTACGATTGGAAAATCAGTAATGTGAGAGACATTAAACATATTATATCACATAATTAATAACTTCGTAATTTGAAATTAGAGTTAAAGTGTGAGAATTAAAAAAGTGTGTATTTATCGCAAATGTAATTATCATTCTGAAGTTTTTTGAGCCTTTTTGCACGTATATGTTTGAGGTACGAAGAAATATTTTTCGTATATTTTTTTATATCCTTCGGGTAGATTTTAAATATAGAAATAGGAGTTTTGTGTAACGGATGGTTCAAATAGTTTCTCAGAAACGGTCGAGGTAATTAATAGGGGGATGTGTCAGATGCGAACGCGATCGAAAAAAAACTTAATTGGAAAAGGTTTTACAGAAGGTAGTATTTGAAAAGATATTCGCACGATTTAACGCACAAACGCGTGGAATTTGACATGTAAGTAAATCATTTCTACGTATATTGTGAAGAGATAATTATCTGAACTGACAAGCTAATCATCTTGAAATCGTCTAAATGGATTTTGAACTAAAATCACGCAATGCTAGGTCTGTTATTGAATGTTTCGTGTTTCCAAGATAGATCTTAAACGATAGACATGCCAATTTAAATGTCGGAAATAAATTATATCTTTAACTTCTAACATCGCATTTAGTTAAAAACAGAAAATAAAAATACTGAGATTGTCAAGGATTTGTTAACTTCTTCTATTGAAATTAATATTTTATTAATCTATTTATGAAAGTATATTATTTGTCTGTGTGTCTTTTTTGTTTGATGAAGCAAAATTTATATATAGATTTGTTTGATAAAGCGCTATTTTTATATAGATAAAGGAGATAGATAGATAGATAGATAGATAGATAGATAGATAGATAGAGAGAGAGAGAGAGAGAGAAAAAGAGAGAAATTTTTAATTATCTGATATTTGTAAAATGATAGAAAGTAAGCTTACGTTAAAAAATGTAAGTTCTGCTATAAAACTCGTCACAGAGGAATATAAAATGTATTATTATGTACGATTGAAATAATAATACGTTAGAGCATATACACACACATTAGTCTTATACCAAAAAATTAATATTTTTCTTTAATTTATTTAAAAATGAATAATGAGCTTTTAGTAATCTGCAATGTCAGAGGTTTCCGTATACTTTCTACTTTCCTAATGCCTAAATTAAAACCTTGGAAATCAACCTTCTGTCACATCAAGGATCGGTCCGAGCTTAGTGGTCCGTAAAAATAGCGAGAATCA